AAGAATGGCAGATCACAGGTGCACGACGTCCCATTGTAGAAGCCGCTGCCTTCCAAGCACACAAGGACAAGGACATTGATGATGATCGTGTGCGTGGCACTCATTGTAACAGGATTGGGCACACCAAAGAGACCTGTTACAAACTTATTGGCTACCCCGGTGATCAGAACAAGCCTAGACAAGGAGAGCGTGGTGAATGTGGTAACCGTTCTCGGATCGCAGTGCAGGAGCTGATCGCAGGCAGCGAAGGGAAGGGAAGCCAAGCCCGCGAGCTTCCAATGTCGAGACTGAAGAGAGTCCCATTCCTGGCCTTTCCGCAACTCAGTTTGCGCACCTGAAACAGTTCCTCTCTTCTACATCGACCTCATCCAGCGAGCCGAGAGCTCACATGGCGGGTAATACATCTGAACTTTATGAGTGGCTCATCGATTCCGGTTGCAACGAACATATAGTTCGTGATTCCACTTGGTTAAATACAATTGATAGGACTGGTTCTCTTTCCCCAGTTCGTATTACCAATGGTGCTAGTATTCCAGTACAGGGAGTTGGTTCTTTGGTTTTGAATGATCGACTCACACTTGATCGCGTCTTTCATGCGCCGTCATTCAAATGCAAATTTCTCTCTGTTAGTCGTCTCACTAAAGACCATGATGTGTCTTTACTCTTCTTGGCTGATTTGTGCATTATCCAGGACTTACGCTCCAGGACTATGATTGGACTAGGCCAGTTACGTGATGGTCTATACTATCTCCATCGAGTCGGGGACATTGCGCGTCCACATAGCAGGGTACCTTTTGTGTTCGCGGCTGCTGGGAAGACTTCCATGGATTTGTGGCATGCTCGCTTGGGACATCCGTCTATGGAGAAGTTATCAGCTTTACGAGATCGTTTATAGATTTCTGGTTTTACTCGGGATTCTCATCATTGTGATTCTTGTTTACGTGCCAAACAGATAAGAGCACCTCTTGTTTCACATTCTATTAAGACTGGCATGTGCTTTGAGTTAATTCATGTGGATATTTGGGGAGGTTATCGTACCCATTCTATGGATGGTTCTCGTTATTTATTGACAATGGTGGATGATTTTAGTCGAGCCACATGGGTCTATTTAATCAAATTTAAGTTGGATGTCGAAAGGTATCTTCGACATTTTTGTCAGATGGTTCATACGCAGTTTAATTCTCAGGTTCGGCGAGTGCAGGCCGACAATGGTGTAGAATTCCATACTAATAGTTTGCGTGATTATCATGAGACGCATGGAATCGTTCTCCAAACTACATGCGTTGATACTCCCCAGCAGAATGGTGTCGTTGAGCGCAAGCATCGTCACCTCCTCGAGACTGCACGAGCCATGCGTTTTCACTCCAGTTTACCTGTCAAGTTCTGGGGTGAATGTGTTGTCTTAGCTAACTACCTGATCAATCTGCTACCTTCACGTGTCCTTGGTAATCGTACTCCTGGGTCGTCAACCCTCTTATGCTCACCTTCACAGTTTTGGGTGCCTAGTGTATGCCAAAGACACTCGTCATTGCCTCGACAAATTCGTCGAGATGGGGAGACCTTGTGTGTTTGTTGGATACCCGGCCTCACAGAAAGGTTTCCGGGTGTACGATCTTCAATCTCGACGAATTTACTCGTCCCGGGATGTCCAGTTTGTTGAAAATGTTTTCCCTTTTTTGGAACAAGAGAAGCTGAGCTCAGGTGGGACCAAGAAGCACACCTCGACAACTCGATGTGAGCACGAGGAAATAGCTGAGGCCGAGTTGCTTGTGCGTCCAGATCATGATGAGGAAGATGAGCTGGCCAACCAACATGGAGATAGCGAAAGTCTTGATGCCCATGTGGAGCATCCTCATGAAGAAGTCAATACACAGACAGGTGGGGAATATAATGATGAAAGCCAAGAGGACGAGGAAACCCCTCAATCTGAAGAAGTTGGCGCCCCCGAGCAGCCTCCTTTGAGGCGAGGAGATAGGTTAAGTCGACACCATCTTCGTTGACGGACATTTATGACGTTGAATTTCCCGGAAAGTCTCGTGGTAATGCATCGGCAACGTACCCCATGGCGAATCACGTGAGTTATGAGCACTTCTCACCTCAACATCGGGCATACCTGGCCGCGATCACAAAGATTGAGGAGCCCAAGACTTTTGAGGAAGCAGTCAAGCATGCTTGCTGGAGAGAAGCCATGTTACGAGAACTGCGAGCCTTAGAAGCCAACGGTACGTGGACTTTAGAGTCACTTCCACAGGGCATAAAGGCAATAGGTGCAAAGTGGGTATACAAGGTAAAATACAGGCTTGATGGTATTGTGGAGAGGTACAAGGCCAGACTAGTAGCGGAAGGATTTACACAGCTTGAAGGAGTTGACTTTCATGATACGTTTGCACCAGTAGCCAAGGTGGTTGCGGTGCGAGTTCTCTTGACAGTGGCCATCACAAGGTTTTGCTAAAGCAGGAGATAACAGAGTGTGCAGGTTGAGAAAATCTATTTATGGACTAAAACAGGCCTCACAAAACTGGTACCAGAAGTTCACTACATCACTTTCTGAGCTAGGCTTCAAGCCATCTTGTGTGGACCATTCGTTGTTAATCTACAAGCAGTGTGAAGACTTTGTGGCAGCACTCATATATGTGGATGATGTAATCCTCACAGGTAGAGGTGGCAAATGGATTGGATTGGTGGATTGGTGGATCCATGGATTAAATGGATTGGATCTAATGGATTGGTGGATTATCCATGAATCCAAATGACATCCTCAACCAAGGACCAATATGTAAAATGTAAAAAGTTTAGGTACTAAAATGTCATAATGAAAAATTTTAGGTACCAAAACATAATTTTCCAATGATATTTTTCGTATAAAAAATTAAATTTTAGGTACCAAAATGTAAAAATAAAAATTATAGGTACTAAACCGTAATTTGCCAATGATCCATGGATCCAATCCATGAATCCACCAATCCAATTGGATTTGGATAAAATGGGTTGGATTTAAATGGATTGGATTAGGTGGATATTTTTAATGGATTGATGGATTGGATTAAAATTGCCACCTCTACTCACAGGAAACAACACCGCCTTCATAAATAAGGTGAAGCACTTCCTCGATCAACGTTTCAGCATCAAGGATTTGGGAAGTTTGAAATATTTCCTAGGGATAGAAGTGGCGAAAGTCGCGGATGGTGTTGTCCTCAGTCAGAGAAAAAAGTCGCGGACGGTGTTGTCCTCAGTCAGAGAAAATACACCTTAGACATTCTTAGTGATGCCGGAGTGACATGAGCACGTCCGAGTTGTTTTCCCATGGAGCAAAACCACGGACTCACACGTCCGAGTGAAGAAATTGCAGATGACATCAGCGGATACCGACGCCTAGTTGGGCGCCTCCTGTATTTGACGGTAACGCGACCTAACATTTCTTATTCAGTAAATATATTGTCACAGTTTGTTCATTGTCCAGGTCCAGAGCACATAGCGGCAGCAGTTCGCGTCTTGCGATACTTGAAGAGGTCACCTGGTCAAGGCCTGTTCTTTCCTAAGTCTGGAGATTCAGAGCTGGGGCATACTATGACACAGATTGGGCAGGATGCTAGACAACCAGGCGCTCAACTACTGGATATTATATTCAGTTGGGAGGAGCGCCCGTATCGTGGAGAACGAAGAAGCAGAAGGTTGTCTCGAGGTCTTCTGCTGAAGCAGAATACCGGACCATGGCGAGTACGGTTAGCGAAGTCCTTTGGCTGCAGTTCCTTCTCAAAGAGTTAGGTGTTCGACAACAGGGTCCCACACCGCTTTACCGCGATAATCAAGCTGCTTTATACATTGCAGCCAACCCCGTTTTCCATGAGAGAAAGAAGCATGTAGAAATGGACTGCTACTTCGTTCGTGAGCGAGTTGCGTCCAAGGAGATTGAGACGAAGAAGATTGGAACTGCAGCGCAGCAAGCAAACATTTTCACGAAGGCCTTGGGAACATAACAATTCCACACGCTGTTGTTCAAGTTGGGCGTTCGGGATCTTCACGCGCCAACTTGAGGGGGAGTGTAGAAACGTGTGGAACCAGTTTGTAATATATTTATTATTGAAGGACCTCTTTAGCATTTAGTCCTTCTAACCCTATTAGCTCACGTCGAGTTTATAGGATGAGAGGGTTTCCGTTTGATGTATGCAGAAAGAACAGTGGAGCTGCAACTAATAATAAACTTGAGAACTCACGTTCACCGTGGAGTAGTCTCGTTCATATTGAACGGGGAAACCATGTAAATCCGGTGTCTCGTGTTATTCTCTATTCTCGTTACTCGATTTTACATTTACAGAGGCCGATCCAGAGGTTGTAATCATGGAAATCAAATGGACTGACGGTGGCAAAAGGAAGGAGGTTAATTAGAGCCCGTTGTATTTAATTAATTAAGTTGGCGATTACGAAACCCTGATACATTAACAGGTGAAATAATTAGTAACACGTAATTAAGCTGTCAGTTTCCCCTAATTTAACCGGACAATGATGAGGAATTAGCTGCTGAAGGAGACTCGAGCCCCACCCCGCATCAAGTTAATATATATAAAGCTGAAGAATAGTTACTGTTGCCTAAAAATATGCTATTTTGATACCTCAAATTTTATTAAACTACAACTTAGTCATTATAATGTATATTTTACATTTTGATACCCTAAATTTAATTTTAGTGTAAAATTATTGAACAATAATGTTTTGGTATCTAATTTTTATGAGATTTTCGTACCTACAATTTTTTATATTCACATACTGGTCCAATGTTTATATTTCACTTGAATCCATGAATCCAATCCGCTAATCCTTGTGAACCAATCCATGAATGCAATCCCCCATAACATAAAAGTATAAATATAGTTTGTATCATACAAGATATTGTATCACTCAACTGTATGAGAAGATTCAACCATTTTATATTTGCTCATTACGTGAAACATTAAAAAAAGATAAAAAGAGAGACGATTCTAACATATTGCAAGAGCGAATTTATAAACTAATTTAGTATATTTACGGGGTACTAAACAAACTTCTACTAAATACATGTAACAAAATATGCGACATCTACATAAGCAAGTTTCAATAAATTGCTATGATGAAAAGGGTTGACTGTTGTATTGACGGCCAACTAAAAGAATTGGTCCAAACCTTTCTACCTAGGGGTGGTAATCGGTAAACCGGTATCCGGTATACCGGATACCGTACCGGATACCGACGGTATTCGGTATACCGAATACCGTCGGTATCGGTATTCGGGGGCGTTATTTTACATTCGGTAATACCGGATAAGAGTCGGTAGATACCGACGGTATACCGGTATACCGTAATACCGATTATAAAAAAAAAAAAGAGTAAAACGCGGTGCACTGAAGGGTTTGGCGGATTGAGTTGTCAATTCCTTTCACTCTCTGCCGCAGCAACCCAACAACCCTAAAAAATTCGAGACCTGCCTCCATCCCTCTCGACTCTCGTCTTCCTCTAAGCAGCCGCCAGCAGCCCTCCCCGCCGGCCCTAGCAGCGCTCCCCGCCGGCCCCAGCAGCGCTCCCCGCCGCGGCCTCGAGCAGCCTCCCTCCCTCTCGTCTTCCTCTGAGCAGCCGCCAGCAGCCCTCCCCGCCGGCCCGAGCAGCTCTCCCCGCCGGCCCTAGTAGCTCTCCCCGCCGCCGCCTCCTCTTCCCTTCTCTCCATCCCGAAAGGCGAGACCCAGCAGAGCCCCTGTCTTCCTCTTCTTTTCTCTTCACCCGCAGGCAGCAGCATAGTAGCATCTAGCATGTGAGAATCCATTTATTTGTGAGATTAGCATTTGTGAAAGTAGCAGAAAGATAAGGTTGATTTGCTTTCGTGACCTGATTCTGTTGCTTTGAGAATTGAATGTTCGGTCTGATTACTGGGTTCATCTGGGTTTGACTTGGATTGCTGCTGATCAGAATTCATATTATAATATCTTAGAAAGTCATTTCCTTTCCTGATGATTATTGTGAAAAGAACGGAGTTTTGAAAGTGGGTGGGTGCAGCTGTTGAGTGAGGTTATCAGGTGATTCAACTGGGTGTAACTCTATGGAATGAATGTATGCAGCAGACTTAATTTAAGATGATAGTTTCAACTGGGTGTAACTCTATGGAATGAATGAATGTTATCAGGTGATTCAACTGTCTATCTTCTTGTACTAGCTTAACCCCAATGTCGAGTGGGTGAAGTTTTTGTTTGTAGCTTAGCTTTCGGTATTCGGTATACCGGTATTAATACCGGATACCGACCGATTACCAGCCCTATTTCTACCATCTACTTCCTCTTCCTTTCATTATTCACTCGCCTTCCATAACCCTTTCATTATTTCTTTCTTTGTCTTCTTTATCTAACCCTAATTAGTATAGTATTTTATGTATTCTAATCACAAGTATGAACAAGTCCATACACGATTGACCAACAATCTAGAGAATTAATAATTGAACCATGAATCACTAACATGTTCAGCTCAATGTCGAGTCCAATTAAAAAATATATATATGTAGTTATTACTTATTAGAAATTCGTCATTTTGCACTACGAGATTTGAAGGCGTGAAATTTTAAGCGAGTTTCAGTTTGTATTCCTTTTGCTTCTCTCTAGAATTTTTCTTTTTCACCCGGGCTAGAATTTTCAACATTATACATGAAATTTTTAACAATTATACATATCAAATAAATAGTAAATAATTATCATCCTAAATACATCACCATTTAAAAAGGAATTAAGTCTCAACTATGCAAATTACAATTGGGTACCTAAACTTAATAGATCTTTAGATTTATAACCTAAATTTTTTCGGCATATAAGTCCTCAAAATATTGATGGAACATTATATTTTTGTACCTAGAATTTTTGTGTATTACATTTTAGTACTTGAACTTTTGAAGTTCTATAAATATGCCTAATTTTTGTATGTGTAATTAAAACACCCTCAAATATATGGGTATCTATACCCAAATCATACACATTTAGATTATGAAATTAAATATACATACCCTACCCAACTCCATCTACAAACTTCAAACCCCATATATACGTCACTCATACCCTTTCCATAATCAATGGGTCTACTTGGGTTCAGGTAAATATCATTTGTTAGCCAAATTTTTCAAAAATTTTAAATTGATTGTTGACCGTCGTATTTCTCTTCTCACTCAATATCATATTTTCAAGTCAATATTACTAACAAAACTGTTAACAAATATTAATTTTAGGCTAATAATAATAACAAAACAACATAACAAGCCACATAATACATATTCATTGGCCATTTCCGCCCCGCGACATGACGCGGCATCGCCACCTAGTATTCCCTAATTTAACCAGAAGCATACAAAGAACACCAATCATCTTCTTTGTAATTTTTCTCCACCCCTTATTTTCCTCTTTTAATAAACTAACGCCTTCATTTATAAAATTTATTAGTTTTATGCCCTCCCATCTATATTTTCCTTAACTTTTCTGTTATTATTTGTCATTTTTCCTCGATATATTGAGTTACTACTTCTCTTTACACTTATTTTTTTTCTAATTACTTATTAGTGGAGCCTCGTATGATAAGGAGTGACAAGATTTGGTCAAGATTAACAATAATATCAAACATTTTATTTGCGGCAGAATTTGTTGTTGCATTCTTGTAACAGAGTGCTTCTACTATGCTATAAAGTATTGGTGCTTTAATGTACAACTTAAAATTGTACCATAACGTTAAATATACAATTTTAGGTTGTACCATAAAGGAATTTGTACCCTTATGTTTTGGTACAACTTTACAACTTAAAATTGTACCGTCACATAAAAGTACAACTTCAAGTTGTACCATAAAAGAATTTGTACAAAATAATATAAGTACAATCTGAAATTGTACCATAAAAACAAAAACTTATAGCACCAATGCTATAAAGTATTGTAAAATTCCTAACAACCAGGCTGATGTAGTTTCCTCCAAGTTAATATAACTCAATTTGATCCAGGATCATAAGAAAGATAAATCTTATGATAAGATTCCCTATAACCAAGAAATACACAACCAACAGTTATTGGAGATAACTTATGCCATTCCTTGCGTTGCAAAAGAACAAGACAGTAGAAAATGCATAACCAGACACAGTGGGGATCTTTTAAATACAACTTCTAAATTGAAGATTGACTATGCAAACTTGTTGCGCAACTTGATTGCACTTTAAAAAAGATCTGAGGTTGTTAATTCGTTGGTTGATCCGCTTTGACCCTGACCCGATGAGAAAAACGGGTCATACATACCCATCTGGTCGACACCCTCTGCAAGGTACGTAGCGAGTTCGAGGTCAAACGGTATCGTTTTTTTCTTTTAGTTTGCGAAATACGTCTATTTTCGGTTTTTCTCTACGCCTAACCCGATCTTTGAAATAATAAGTTGAAATCGGAACTTGATGAGTCGATCTGCCTACACGTCTTGCTTTTACTGCTATCTCGGGAGCTACTCCACGTATTGCTTGACGTAAAACAGATCGTGGATTTGTTTATGTCTTTGTTAAATCTTTTTCACGGCCCAATAGATAATTTGATAAGCCAATGATTTTTTCCGTGTTTAAGAATACGGTTAACCAGCATGTTAACTAATCGATTACGATAAATTAAATATTTACATTATATAAGTGTGCGAATTTTCACTATATGTTGGATCCAAATAGGACATGTTATTAGTTATTACTCATATGTTAGATGAGATTTGATATAATTTATAAATTTAAGAACAATATAATAACTTTTTTTATATGGCCGGACTAAAGCGGTCCGACCATTAACCGTAAATTGCTCAACCGGGCCAATGGGCCAACCTTGAAAAAGACCCAAGCTATGTTGAAAATGGGTTATAATTTTGACCATTTAATTAAATTTTTTATTTAAAAAAATTCAAAAGGCAAGTTATTTATTTCTGCTTATATTTCCATCAAGCTCTTACCTTATTTCTTGTTTGAATCTCTATATTTTCTCATATCCACGTTGATAATGTTACCTTATTCCATTTTTCTTCCTTTTCTTTTTATGTTAATATTTTTATTGAGACATTTTATCATAGAAAAAACTTCTTTTATAAATAGTAGTTCCAATACCAAGGCAATCAAACATTTGAAAGACTAAAATATAAGATTACTTCTTCTTTTATTAAGATTTCAAGAGACATGACTAAGGCTTCCGCAATATACTTCTTGCTAGCCCTTATGTTCTTTGCCTCCTTAGGTAAAATATGTTCCGAAAATTATTATGTAAAGTAAAGTTCATCGTGATTTTCTGTTAGTTCCTCTCTTTCTACTCACTCGATTAATTTCATAACTTTGCTTTGAATTGGTTATATGAATCCTTATAAATTTTTTTTACGTACAATTAATTGATTTTATATGCATACTAATGAAAAAAAAGGTGAAGCAAAGATGACGGTGGAAGCTAAAGATTGCTCGATTGTATGGGACTGTCGCGGGCAGAAGCAATGTTGGAACGACTGCAAGAACAAATATGGTGGAGAAGGACAGTGTGACATCTCTACTGCTCCTGGAGTTCCTTCACAGTGCTTTTGTGCTTATAAATGTTGAGAAGGGGGAAATAATTTACATATGTAATACAAATAAGAAGGAAATAAAGTTAAAGTCTTAGAAAAATTCTCGAACCGTTCTTTCTGGATAAACCAAAAAATCCTTAACCAGTTGAGAATGTTTATTTTTCTATTTGATCGAGCTGGTTTAAGTAGGATACATGCCCACGATTACAGTCTTAATTATCATCCACATTTGAGAGTTGACAACTTAAAAACAAAATACATTACCTCTCCTTAGAATTTGAATTATTGAAATGAAATTATTAATCATATCATATGGAGTTTTTGCTAATTGAGATCCGAGATGTCTTGCTTAATTTTGAATTGTAATAACCCCCAATATATATTAAGAGTTAATTTAAACACAATAATATGGGGTTAATTGCAAGGTTGGTCGCTGAGATTACAAAAAACGTTCATGTTTGGTCACTAAAAATATTTAATTCCGTTCGTGATCACTAAATATAGTAAAACAGTCAAAGTTTGGTCACTCTCCGTTAGTTTCAGTTAGTCTCCGTTAATGATGACCGTTATGTGCTGATGTGGCAGATGAAATTGCTTAGTCAGCTTAATTTAACTACAAAATTATGAATCCTGACACACCACATCGTCTTGCCCAACCCAACCCTATAACCAAACCTGACCCATGAACCCACGCACTCAAATTAAACCCTAAAATGTAAAAGATACCCATTTCCCCTACTTCATTCGACAAGGAGAAACCCTAAATCGAAGGGAGGAAATGGATTCCTCATCATACTCATATCTCCGTTGCTCCTGACCATGGCAACCACCGCCTTTTGGTCCTCAACAGGCAACACACCGTCCACTTCGTCACCACGACCTCCATCCACCGCCTCCACGCACACAGAGTCCCCACACAGCTCCGCCATCCCTTCTCGACACGGCGAGACCGACTCGAGCAGCTTCAGTATCAGGAGATATTTCAAGTTATCGTCAAGACTCAAACCGGCGACCATGAATGTCAAAGTGAATCGACATGGTTTATAAGAATCATCATCATTAAGTTTAGTTTAATGTCAATGTATGTTTAGACTTTAGTTTGTTTATCTTTGTAGTCTCCAACTGCTAGCTTGCACCTGTTGTCTTGTAGTGCAAAGCTTTTGTCTATTTAAATCCAAGTATGAATGAGAAACACACAAAAAGGCTTCTAGGGTTTCATTTTCCCCAACTCATCTTTGTTGTTATAGTATTCAGAGCCTTCTCCTTCGTAGAGGCGGGATCAGATGGGAGATTTCATCCGCTACCTCTTGTTTTCACCAATTCAACTTGGGGGAAACATGAAATTTGATCGATTGGGTGGATATATAGGCTGCTGGTGATGACGAAGAGAAGTAGAGTTGCGGCGTCGAGCCCAACTACGATGCCTCGATGGCTCTGGTGGACGAGAGGATGCAGCGGTTGCCGCGGTTCGCTTCCTCCCTACTTGCTCCGGTAAAGGGATTTGAGATCGCTGAGCAATCTCCCCGTTTTCCTCCTCCTAGCATCTCGAGCTCAGAGACGACGACCTTGCCTTCACTTTCGCCTTGGCGTACAACTCGATGCTTGGTCCGTCGTCATTGTCATGGTGGAAGAGCTATAGGTTGTTCCCATGCCGAACCTCGCATGAGCAGTAGCGTGGGAGATTTTGGTCTTGTGGCGGAGGTGGAAGAGGCGACGATGGGGTTGGAGCTGCTAGAGAATGATTTGGAGTGTCGGAGGTCGAGGGTGATGTTGGAGATTTGGAATGGTAAAGTGGGGTTTTTTAGGTCAGGTGGTTAAGGAAGAAAGGTCGAGTCATGGCCCATTGGTTGGGTTAGGCTTTTATGATGTGGCGGGGTCAGATTTTAATTTTTTGGGTAAAAATTGGGTGACTGGGCGTTTCTGTTGGCACGTCAACAAAAAAGTTGACCCCGTTAACGAAGACTAACGGAAACTAACAGAGAGTGATCAAACTTACACTGTTTTACTATATTTAGTGACCACGTACGGAATTAAATATTTTTAGTGACTAAACATGAACTTTTTTGTAATCCTCGTGACCAACCTTGCAATTAACCCCAATAATATGACTCCATGCAAACTTTGGGTCTAGTACCTATGGGAACGGCTACGGTGCTAATTGTACAATAGTTAGCACCGTTCTAACCAAGGGAAAAACTACTACTAGTTTGAATTAGTAGTGATTTAGCTTAGATGTTGTATTAATTTTATAATAATCCGTAGTGATTTCGTTATTTTTAGTAGCGTTTTTTGCTAGTTATCACGGTGCTAACCCCTATAAAGGTTAGCACCTAATCCCATCCCAGTAACTATGGTTTTCCCATGATGGAACATAGGAGAAATTTATGCAAAGTTAATCATCGTTTCAACCTTGCAATAACTAAAAGCATTTATAGCATATTAATTAGTAATTACCTCACTACTTTGCTTCTTTTTTTCCAAACATGCACTCTGCTATGTTTCCTTCGTGCCAGATTGAGAACAAGTCACAAAATAATTATGGCGCACAAAAATGAACGTGAGACATTAGTTCCGGGTTATAGGTATAATATGCCCCTCTATTATGACGATTTATCAAACATGCCCCTCTACTATTTTTTACATAAAAAATGCTCTATACTTTGAAAAAATTATCAAACATGCCTTTTTGTTAAACTTTCCATTGAAAAAATCGTCAATCATGATTGAACTGAGATTTAGATGACCCGACATCTGCAAATGGGAGCGAAAATGTCAGTTTTGTCCCCCGTTTTAATTCTCTGGGTCTCTTCAAAGTGAAATAATTTGAATTATTTGGCTATACAAAAGAACAAAAAAAATTCTAATTTGAAATTATTAGGGATATTTTAGACATTTGTGTCACCCAAACCAAAGTTCGGCCTTGGTTAACGGTTTTTGGATGAAAATTTTAATAGAAGGGCATGTTTGATAATTTTTTCAAAGTACAAAGGCATATTTGATGTAAAAAATAGTTGAGAGTAATGTTTGATAAATCGTCATAGTAGAGGGGCATATTTTACCTATAACCCTTCTCCAATCTCCAACAGATGAAAGGAGAAGTAACTTTCTCGCAGTAGCAACCCAAGTATTTCTGGTGGAGATTTTTGCCCTCTGACTTTTTAAATCAAGATGATCATTACTACGATTCTCACCCTCTCTGTATTTGAGTACTAAACCTAAATATAACATAAATGGGTTCTTAGCAACATATAATTAATTTGTGTTAGCAACATATAATTAAAGTTATATTGTCCTTAATGCAGGGCATAAAGTTTGGGAGTAAGTAAATCCAATGATGTGAAGAAAAGTGGTTTCAAAGATACTTTAGAGAATGTAACTATCTAAAGTCGTATTCTCAAGGTTCTTTCCTAGACCCTATTTATACTACTCAAGGACTCCAATAGTGTTTCAAGATGAAGATGCGGTTGAAATTCCACTTAGTTCGTTATAAAAAAGATTTCCACAATGAATTTGAAAAAAAATGTATGATCACTCGCAGACTGTCATAAAAGGCCTAGAGAGAGCATGAGATGCTGGATACAAATGTGTTTCAATCCAGACAGACTCCGAAACAGTGGCAGCACTCATGTCGGACGGACACTAGTAGTCAGCATGTCGAGATTGAAATCCTTCTATTACAATTGCATTAGCCTTGATCGGCCTACAAAAGGGAAAATATATAGCAATCGAGTTTCTCCCTAGAAATACAAGGAATTTTGAATTATTACTCAGCTCAACCAATCAATTATCGGGTTACTTTGTCATATCACAATTCCTAAGGTAAATTGCAAGAAATTTCCTAAAATGCAAGCTCTGAATTGTAAGAATGATACCCAACCAAATTAATCCCGATTTCTCATAAAATTAACAGACTAGTTTTTTTTTTTAATGTTTTATTTGGTTTTTCTTCCATATGTAGTGCATGGACTTTAAAGTTTTTCGAGATTTTAATCCTACCATTACTCAATGTTTGTGTTTATTTTGATCGTCCTGCATAGTGAAAATAACAATATGTTAAGAAAATCTAAGAATTAGTTTTGCTCTGGGTTTTCCTCATGGTGTAAGGACTTTAAGTTTTTTCTACAACTTGTATCCTACATGCCCCGTAACCATCCACAAATTCTCAATTCTGATGTATATTCATATTTGTTTGCATTTCGGTATAAGATTGCACATATATCAATAAATATGCATTATGAATTTCTACCTATCTTTCCTTACCAACCACAACTAAAATAAGATGTGATTCCATTCAAGGATAGATATGCATTGGCCATTTAAGTTTTTTTTTATCTATTAAAAAAATTGAAAGGGCAAGTTATTTCTCCTTACATGCTAATATTTTCATTGATGCATTTTATCATCAAAAAATTCTTCTTATAAATAGTGAATCCAAATACCAAGACAATCAAACCTTTGAAAAGACAACCTAAAAATATAAGATTACTTCTTCTTTTTCAATCGATTTCAAGAGAAACATGACTAAGTCTTCCAAAACATACTTCTTGCTAGCCCTTCTGTTCTTCGCCTCCTTAGGTAAAATCTTCTTGAAAATTATTACCTGAAGTTCATTGTGATATTCTGTTTTTGTTCCTCTTTTTCCTACGCACTCCAATTAATTTCATAATTTTGTTGCGGATTAGTTATGTGAATCCATGCACATACTGATTTCTTTCTATCTTTCTTTATGTACAATTAATTAATTTTATATGCATACCAATGAAAAAGGTGGAGCAAAGATGACGGTGGAAGCTAAAGACTGCTCAAAAGTATGGGATTGTAGTCGCGGAGGGGATCAATGTTGGAACGAATGCAAGAGTCGTTACGGTGGACAAGGATTGTGTGATCTCGGCACTGCTCCTGGTGTTCCTCGACAATGCTTTTGTGCTTATAAATGTTAGAGAGGGGAAAAAGATTTAGATTATAAGTCGTAGTAATAAGCAATGTAATAACTACATATATGTTGACCATATATGTAATACAAATAAGAAGGAGAAAAGTGAAGTCTCAGGAAATTCTCTAATCTTTCTTTCCAAATAAAGCAACAAAACCTTAACCAGTCTAGACTGTTTATTTTTCTAGTTGATCAAGCTGGTTCGAGTTGGGTGCATGCCCACGATTAACGGAATTCCAAATTGGTCTCCCGAATTGAACGGAATTCCCGACCCACTAATTAGCGTAGTAAGTAAAATATAATAAATATGTACAAACAATATTTAAATTATCTATTTAATTCACTAAATATGAATGTTAAATATGTTACATGGGTTTTATATCTACTTAATATGGGAGCATTAAAAAACAAAGAAAAAAAACGGGTTGACAATCATATACAAATGACAATTTTAACAGCATAAAATATGTATATGTATATATATAAATGAAATATTTAATAACTACGAAGTATTTAAATGTTTTAATAACTATACTAAATGCGTTATATATAAAAAATTTCTAACCCAATAGTTGGGGGCATGTACCTCTCAAGTTAAATTTAATTAAGAGTTAGAGACCAGAATATTTGTTTGGATAAAGTTCATCCTCGTTAGTTGATTTTCAAAATGAAAAGAAAGACTACCAATATTCGCGAATAATGAAACTTGATGGTAGACTCCCACAAAAATTAGAATTCCCCCCCTAGATCATCATATGATGTTAGGGTTTTATATCATCATATGATGTTCATTTCCATAGATCTATAGGTTATGATTCCCAATAAAATCTCTAAAACAAGTATGGTTGAAAGATGGGTGGAGGGAGTATTGGAGGATCCATTTCAGATTTTTCAAGAACATAAATGATTTCAAAGGAGAAGATAATAGTACGAGAAGATTGAGATATATATGCTGATAATTGATTGCCATAGATATTTAAGTTTAATAAACACATTGACTACTCACCAACCAAAATCGTTCAACAAGAGATATGTTTGTAATTTCAATCGAGGTTAATACATATGTGATAGTCCATTATAAAA